GCCTGGCAGAGAGAGGGTTCTTCTTCGCTTTTCCTCCCTCCCCTGCCCCGGGCCTGCCCTTAGAAACGCTTGTTTGTTTTGGTGGGCGAGTGCCAAACTCCTGCCTCCGGTAACTCTTTAAAAACATGGGGCCGGGGGAGGAGACGGAGGCCGAAACAGATGGAGGAAGAGGAGGAGCCGGCGGCGGCCCTGCCGCTCCCCCCACCCCTTCCCCCCCGCCGCTCTAAAGCTGTCAAAAAATAAGGCGTGAAAAGATTCTGTAACGCGTAACAAAGGCGCTTTTCTGCTCCTGTCCAGCGAGTGCTGGCAAAGGTGGGGTCAGGGGAAGGGAAACTCGAGCCCAAACGCGATTTGGTCGATGCCAGCTTGGAGATAGTCGGGATGTAAGGCCAGTGGAGTAAACAAAGTTAAGAGATTTGTGTTGGTAGAACTGAACAGAGCACTTAAAAAGCGTGCCTGCCTGGAGAGACTTTGCTTGAATAAAGCAGGTCAGCGGAAAAACTTTTCTTGAAGATAGCATCTGAAGGGGGGGGGGGGGCCTTCCAAACTGTTGTCGTCTTTTTCTCAGGTACTTCATAAAATAACTAATAAAGGAAGCCTTCAGGAATAAAAAGCCTGCTTGTGTTCTCTAAAAGTCATCTGATCTTGCAGCCTTGATCAGTTCTAAGTGAATAATGGGGTTGGGGGATGTGACCATGTAAGAGCAAGATGCCTTTAGGCATCTACAGGGTTGCATTTGTTGCATCTTTACCAAATAGTCCCAAACTGTCTAAATAGCAATAGAAACCACGATAATTCAGTTCTTCCCTGTGAAAATAGCTGGAATCTTAGATTTTTGTACATTTAGAATGTATTTTTAACTCGGTCTCCCATTTAGAGTTTATCCTTAAAACAAACCCTGAAAATAGCACTGATAGAAAGAAGGCAAGCAGTGTAATGAAGCCTGATGTGAAGGTATCCAACTTAATATAAAAGTAAACATGGATTGGTTTTAATGCAGGAAGAGTAAAGCATGTTGTAACCACAGACTGACCTGTTAATAGAATAGCTAGGATATTAAGCTGTGTATTAAAACAACAGCCTAATATGTCATACCTAATGAACAATTCCAAGTAAGCTGGTATTTTCTATTCAAGATGATGAGTTATAGAGATCATGGAATGCTAAAGGGCTTTCTGAAATATTTTTACTTGGAAATTGTAATAATATAAATTTAAAATTATGTGTGAACTTGCCCTTTAACTTATGAGAGGCTCCATACTGTCCACAAAAGCATAAGGAAAAGCAGCTCTTCCAGTGCACACTATAAAGAAAGAACTGAGTAACTCGGTTGCCTATTGTTGTAACTAACTAGAAATATCCTTTTTTGGTTTGTACTTCCCTTTGATATGCTTAATGAATGTACTTTTCTGTAAGCTTTTTAGCTGTTGGGTAGCACGTTTATAAGCTGGAGATGTTGTATCTAGATTCTCCTTGTATATTCCTGTATGCTTACTTTGATGTGCTTGCTGCTTTGTTTATCTTTTAAACTGAGGATTTAGCACTAATATTCTGAATCTGCAGAATACACGTATTCTTCCTTGCCATTCCATATGAGGCATCCTACTATGGAATAAGTTTACTGTGGCAGAGATTGCAGTGTCTTTTCAAGTGTGTGATCTCCTGTTGCATTGTTGAAGCTTCTTATTTAAATGAAGCCTTCTGAAGCACTCTACTGACAGCTGTGCTATCTGTATGTGTGCATGTATTGTAGGAACAGGTATGGTCTAGATATATCTAAATTTGTCATGGGCCTCTTTGAAATGCAAGTATTTGTTTCCAAAAGATCCTTTGCTGGAACTCCTGTGTAGAGACTTAACATATAAAGAATTTTAATTTTTCCCTAAAACATTTGGTTAATCAAAACTAGGGTAGAAAATGGCAATGCTGACTTGCCTCCATGGCTCATCTAGAACTTCTGTCAGGATCACCTTGCAAATCTGAATATTTACAAATTTGAATATTTCTTATAATTATTCTGTCAGTTACAAGGAAGTTCTTGAAGTGGTGTTGTGTAAATTGCGTGAGAATTTTGTTGTTGTTTTTTTTTAATGGTCATTTAATTTCTTCCATGTTCATAACACATAGACTGAAGGAGTAGACACATCTTGAAGTGCTCATACTAGGAGAGTGATTTAAAGAACTTTTGGGCCAGTACACTGCAAGCAACATTAATCAGATCTTTCAATGGACCACGTGCAACATTAACCTTTTGGAGGTTAGTTATTTATATATGACTAAAGGGGTTTTATACACGATTAAAGCCTGGAACTAGTGTTCTGATGCTGATCCAGAAACAATAGCAGGAGGGTAATACAAGCTTTGGCTCTCTAGGGTTAGTGTATTTAAGTGAGCGGTTCCACATCAAGAACCTGGAGCACGTTTGACAGTTAGGTTACTTGTCACAACTAGTTTCTATTCAGTGCTAGCTTTGAGATCTGTAACACAGATCTTAATCAAATAAATAGTTTGTCTCTTGCATAGTATTAGCAACTCATTTCTAAATGTAGCTTAAACAGATGCAATTTACAGGTCAAAAATATGTCGTCCCTTTGTTTTTCTGGTTTCTCTTACAATTAGTCTCATTGGGTCAATACTGTTTTAAATATTAGCTTACTTTCAGTTGCTTGTTGGAAATTACAAAGTTGCTGTGCGAAATAGAAGAGCTCTGATGTTAAGGATCGCTGTTAGTGCTGGAAATCTTGAAGCTGTGACCTCTATATCCAGCAAGAGCGAGTTTTGATCAGGCTTCTCCAGCAAGATAATAAAGCTGTCTTCTTGCCTATGTGATTAATTCTTTTTACAAAAAACTGCCTACAACATTGTGTAAGGCACTTGCATGCATCCTCTTTCCTCTTGGGAGAGGAGGACAAGTAAACATGCACTTAACAAATGTTAATCATCTCAATTAACAGGGGACTACTCATCAGTGTAATAAGCATAATACCCCATCAGGTTATAAAGGGCTATTGAGGATGAGCTGGTAGCCAAAAAATCAGATGCTTTAAGCTCTGAGTAGGTGCCAGCGTAAAGAAGTCTTCATTCTTACTTCCTTCTGTCTCTTTTGACCCCACAGTAGGCTGACTTGCTAAAGTACATGCGAAGATTGTACTTTTGCTGCCAAAAGTAGCTTTTTCCAAGTTCAACAGTTGCAAAGTGCAACTGCTGAAGTTGATGCAATTTAATCATAAATGAACTTGTATTACTTAAATTTGCTGACAGAAGACATCGTTGGCTATGTTTCTTCATAAAAGTCTATGCCAGTATGCTTCATGGCCATAATCAAAGACGGACAGCTACTTTTGGTATCTGGGCCAAATTCCTTTGGTAGTAATTATGGCTGACTTCCAGGTTCTCATTTTAATATGATTATGAACATATTTTTCACTTCCTGTCATACAGCTATTAATCATCTCTATCGCACTATGCAGCTGTCCAAATACTCTGCAGTTGCAGATTATCTGCCTGGGAGGCAGTTTCTTTATGTAGACAGAAGCGCTATGAAGCATGACACTTCTTGGTGTTGTTTGTCATGTGTGCTGAATATCATGTTAGAGGCTCAGAATTACCATTTAACTTAAAACAGTAAAGCTATTCACCCTTGCTCTGAGGAGGAGTGTTTTTTGGGTCTATGCCATTCTTGATCTGAGTAAAGACCCACCTACAGCAGCCGGACAGAGATTCAGCTACACCCTGTCAGAAATGGAGTATTTTGAATCGATTGCTTTTTCTCCCCCCGTAACTTCTGTGTTTGCCTCTGAGTTGTTACACTCAGCGGAGTCCCTTTGTGGAAGGAAGCTCATTGCTAAACATTACTTGCTGGTCAGCTCAGGTGGGGGATGGTAACGGCATGAGATGCCTTTTATGGGTGTTAAGAGCTTCCGAAATTTTGACAACAAGCAGCTCTAGGGGTTACTGTGGATAGTTGTGTTTTGGGTTTTTTCTTTTTTAAATATAAACAATTTGTAGCCTGTCTCTAACATAATTAAGGTATGAAACAGTAGAAGGTAGAAGACTTTCTTGCAGAACAGGTGTAGTTTGTTAATAACTATGATTCTGCATGTCAGACCGCCTTTTTCAGAAAGGCTTGTTCATTCACAATAAAATGATCAGTATTGGACCTCTGAGAAACAAACAAAAGATAAGGGCTGTTTTTACAGGAAGTGCATTTGTCTTTCTAGGTCTTGTTTACTGTAGCAGCTAAAGTGACTCAGAATGCCTCTCAGCGATGACCAGAACAGTGATTCGGATTCTTCACGGCTCTCTGAAAGCACAGCTTCTTCCAGTGACTCTGAATATTCAAGGCAGAGCTTTAACAGTGATTCCTCAAGCAAACCCAGTTCCCCAGCGTGTAAGCCTATTTCAGCCTTACCGGCGCTGTGCATAGATGGATAAGGCTAACTTATCTCATTTCTCTTTGCTGTTGTGGGTAGAACCTGGGATTCTGAATGTCTCTTTAAGAGCATTAAGAGAGAGGCATGGCTTTCTCTCTGCTGTGAAGCAGCGCATCTCCTTGCGTGTGGAACGCCACCAGCAGCTGTATCCGTGGGGGTCTCCTTGTGCACTCCTTCAGAAAGCGTAAGAAAAGTGTGCTGCCATGGACATCCTGATCTTGGGCTAATCTTGATGTTGGTAGCAGTTGCCGGTCAAACAAATACGTCTTTGTGCAGAGGATGTGTGTCTTCTGTTTGCTCCGCGCACTTAAAAACTAATTCTGTAACTTGTGCATCTATAATATTAGATCAAGTTACGTGGACTTAATCTGATTTTCCTGTTTTTTCTTTCATAAATATGAAAATGAAATGGAAAACACACATTTGCACAAGGAAGCTATTTTTGAGTAATGATAAATAAAACTTTAAGGTGTGCTTCATGTTTACGTCTGTAAGCATTCTCAGACCATGCATACTTTTTGGTGCTTGTGTAAGTGAAGTCTTACAATTAAAACAAGTTTGTTAGTGGTCCTGCAGTTAGCAGCTTAGTCTGTCTTTCTTTACTGGCTGTCTTTAAAGGTTTCATTTCAAATACTAAATCAAACGATGAAATTTGTGGATATAGAAACTTTGGGGATTTACTCTTGCTTTCCAATATGTAGTTTCTGTTATATTAACTTTTTTTTAAAAAAAAAGGAATGTAACTTAGGGTGCATCTGCTATCGAACATAAGTGAGGGGTTCTCAAGTCAGTAACTTCAGAACCATCTCTACAGGCAATAAAACCACAATATAGCCATTATGTCCTCAGATTTAAAATGGGCATCTGGTATATGTTATTGCTCATGCTTTTGGTCTGGTGGGTTTTGCAGAACAGTCAGTAGCAAATCTGTGGAATGCAAGATCCCCTTTTAAATGGAAAAAGATATCTTAGTTAAGATGCAGAAATAGGAAATTGCTCCTAAATAAGTTATGGGGCTTCTGTGGTATTACCCTCACACACCCCTGATAAGCTGGGAGTTTCCCATGTTAGTGTTTTTAAAAGATATAAAGACCTGGTAATCTTAGGTTATGTCTTCTAGAGTGCTAGAGTTTGGTTAGTAGGTAGTAAAATGTCTGCATTTTAGTATTTTCAATTGCACTTACCAACAATAGCTATTTGGCTTGACTCAATCTTTGTTCCAGCAGCAAGCCCTCCCAAGGTTATTACGTTCGATGAACTGATGGCAGCTGCAAGAAATCTGACAGACTTGTCTCTAGCTCATGAAATTGCTGTAAATGCAAATTTTTGCATAAAGCATGAATGCTTCCCGCAAAACAGGTAAGAGCCTGAGTTTTGTAAAACAGCACACTGGAGTTGGGAAGAGAGGGAAAATGAATGGAGTGGCTAATTAAAAACTAAAGAGCACTCACCCAGCCCTCAAAAATCAAACTAAAACATCTTGGAAGGCTACAGATTTTTATACTGCACCTCTAGGAGTTGCTGTCAAAGCTGTCTTGCTTGGAACAGGTGGTGCAGTCCAGCTCAGTTGATACACTGTCTGGGAGCATATTGCTCCATCTTAAATGTCATGTGGAAGATAAAAGCTGATAATGCAATGTGAAGGCCTGTAGTGGTCTGTTCTGTGCAGCCCTGGGGCAGGATGAAATGATGGCCTTCTCCGCAGTTGTATGTATTAGTTCACTGGTGCCACAGCGGTCAGATAGAGCTCATTGAGAACACAGCTGTAATGATAGCCCCGGAACAGATACAAAAATACTTGGACATCCAGAACAAGTAAGAAGCAACTTCTCTAATGTAGGTAGCTAAAATGTCTAATGTTAAGAATGGCTCTGGTCTTTACTTTGTTTTTATCTAAGTTTTCTAAAGTTTTTAATTGCATGAGTCCTGTAACTGATAATTGGTTATACAACAGAGAACAGGTTTTGAGAAAGCTAAACACCTAACATATCAGATTAGGACAATAGATACCAAGTCATAAGGAGAAAGGAAAGGTAATAGCTCTTCACCTACATCTGGATTATCAGCACCACTTTCCTAAAATACAAGTATTTTATAAAGACTTGTCAGTCTAGACAATGTTTAGGAGCTGATGATTTACTAGGCAAGAAAGATGTGGTTGCAGGGATGGTGAGGTGGTGTGTGTTTCCTGACGAGGCTAATTAAAACACTTACCAAGGGTGAAAGCTAGTTGGGAATCTTTTCTATATCTAATTGACTTCTTCCCCAGCTTTGCAGGCACAGTGAAACAAATTGTGCACAAGGCATTTTGGGATCACTTGGAATCGGAACTGAATGAAGATCCTCCTGAATATGAACATGCTATCAAGCTTTTTGAGGAAATCAAGGAGGTAATGTTTTTCTTCCCCTGTGCCCCAGGATCACTTTGTCAGCTCAGGTCTGAGAGTCTCAAAGGGTCTGCTGACTCGGTGAAGCCAACACCTGCAAGTTCTTTCTTTAAAGATGAAACCATGATTATGCAGAACTGCAAATAGGCGTTACTAATAGTGTATTTATATTAACCATGAATATGACCACAGACACATGGTGGCATGTGTCCTTGGCTTTCGTGGCATGATGGCTGGTTGCAGGTCAGCTCTTTTCTCAAAGCTTTGCATCTCTGCTTGCCTCTTTCCAGCAACGTACTGTGAGCTTGGGGCATGAAGAGGAGTGTATAGATGTGCCTGCACCTGCCCACAGGAATGATTGGTTATGATCATCGCACAAGGGAACATACAAACCTTCACTCCTGGCACAATACTAAGTCTCTTAAAATTTTATGTCAGTAAGCCTTTGTTTCACAGGGAAGCCTCCCGGTTTTGGAGTTGTTCATGTGCTTTGTGGTTTACCAGCTTTGAGCAAACTTTGCAGAACTGTACTGCAGTCTTTTTAACAGCCCTTTTTTCTTGCTGCCTTAGATAATGTTTAGTCTTAACATATCTTGCTATAGCTGGTCAGCTAAATACACTTGACATTAATATTAAAATCTTACTTCAGTGTGTTTACTAAATGACTTGATTTTTTTATTGATAAGGTTTTCTCTTTTCTTCCTTTACTTTAGATTCTTCTTTCTTTCCTGACTCCTGGAGCAAACAGAATTCAAAATCAAATTTGTGAAGTTCTAGATACAGATCTTATAAGACAGCAGGCACAACATAATGCTGTTGATATTCATGGATTAGCTAACTATATCATCAATACTATGGGAAAGTTATGTGCTCCAATAAGAGACAATGATATAAAACAGTTAAAAGCAACTGACAATATCGTAGAATTACTGAGGTAAGTATTTGGATGTTTTTTTAGTGGGAAAAGCCTCTTCTGAAAGTGCTGGGCAGTGGAAGAGTTGGGTAAAGTCTTAAAAAAATTCTTAATTGTGCCAATTTATGTAACGCTCGTTTTCAAACTATAAGAAAACTCTTATACTCTTATATATATAAAGGGGAGGAGCTATGACTGTGACCAGAATATTATGTGTATCTTAGTTTTTAATGAAATGAGTAGAATGCCTAGATCAAATGTGACCAGCTCTGAATATCTAAGCCACTGAAAAACAAACAAACAGAAGCACTCTTGCAGTGATCTGTGTTTCCAAGACTGCTTTTCCAGTTTTGTTCATCCTTAGAAAATTTAAGCACCACATTTGTAGTGTTCTGTCTTGAGCTTTTTATGCATGCTCCTTCTAGGAGGCCAAACTTGGGATTTAAAATCTCTTTAGTAAAGATATTATTTCTTGAATTTGAGCAAAATACTTACATAAAAGGGCAGAAACTGCTTTACAGCTCCTGAGGTATACTGAAATATTAAGAATAAATGACAGTTATTGTTCTGCTGTTTTATTGCAAGTTGAATCCTGTACAGGGACTGAAGCAATTGGATGAGGATTGGCTCTCTTCGTGCAGTTAGAGTGTTATAGTTAAAATCTGTTCTTTTAGGCCAAAATGTACGATTTTATATAGTTCTTGAAAACCCATTTGCATCTGTTACAGGGTTGTAGCATTTAGCCATGCAACATGTGAGTTACATCAAGCCCTAGACCCAATAGTCTTTCAAGCATCCTGGAAGATGGGTAATGTGTCTGTTACACTGAAATAGCAATGAAGGAGTTTACTTCACCTAGAATTGAAATTTAAATGATGATGTAGATGTACTTCATGTGTGCTAGTTAGAATCAAGATGTTACTGTAATTGTCAAATTTTATACTCTTATTTTCAGACAAATATTCCATGTTCTGGACCTGATGAAAGTGGATATGGCTAATTACACAATTCAAAACCTTAGGCCATACCTTCAGCGTAATTTGGTGGACTATGAAAGAACAAAATTCCAGGAGATTCTTGAAGAAACACCAAGTAGGTATCATGCTATATTTAATTTAGAACTTTCTTTTTAAAGTGGACTATTTTAAGACATGCTATAAATTCTATCTGTTGCAGTTAATTTGGAGAAAAACTTTGATTTCTTGTCTGGATCTAACTCATGCAAAAATTCTTTGATAGGCAAGCTGTCAATGGGCAATTGCTTAACTTATTATGAAATATGTTTATCTATAATCCGGGACACTTTCAGACAAACTTGTATTTGCTAAATGGGTTGGTATCTGAGAAACAAAGTAATAATGACTGTTACTGTCTGGAAGCAGAAGCCCTGCATACTGAAAGATGAGACTGTCTCTTTTTGTATGCAGCAAGTCTGTTTTTAGCCTGAAGTAAACATATAAAACCAGATAGTGTGCTTGAAAGTTGGCAGCAATTTTTTTTAATCAAAAAAAACCAAGCAGTCACTGAGGAAAATTTCTTAAGTGATGCAAAGTCAACTTGATCCACTGTTACAGGTTTTGTGTAATATGGCTAAACAGTGTTCAGGAAAATGTATCCTCCAAGAAGAAGAAGTAAACTTAGTAAAATCTGGAGCAGGGGCTGCTGTAATGGGAACCCTGAGCCACTGATACACCCTTTTGTGTTTATATAGCAGCCTGAGAAGACCTCTTTAACAGCATTTCATTTGCTGTTAACAACAGTTTATCTACTTTTGCAGTCCTGTGCCCCACCCATTAAGTGCTTTCCCTAGAAAAGGGAAAAAAATGCTTTGCGAACTCAAACTTTGATGCTTTTTCACCCCAAAATCTTGGCTGAAGTCCTAACAATTTGTTATTGGGTTTGTACAAGCTAGCTAGAGTATTAAGGTGACCAATGGAAGGTGATCAAGTGGAACAAAGCTATCGAGAGAATTTACATGGGTGAATACTCAGCTGTGCTTTATGTTTGTTTAGTCTTAAGAGGTCCATACTTTTGTTTATGTGTATAATTCTTCTCCTCAAGCTATTGCTTATTTTGATGAGAGCCTGCAGTCAGTCTGTGCTGATTTGTAATGCTTAGGTGCCCTAGATCTCACAACTGAATGGATAAAGGAATCAATAGAAGATGAACTGTCATCTATTTCTGATGAATCTTCATCATCCCCTTGTGCTGATAGTACTTCTAAACCAATTATTAGTCCTACACTGGTGCTAAACAACAGCTACTTGAAACTGTTACAATGGGATTATCGCAAAACAATTCCAGAGGTAAGAAATGTTATTTCAGTAGTCTTCAGATTTCTAGCTGTATGAAAACACTGGTGTGCTGTAATAATCCTGCTGTTGATGACAGTAGGTGTTCTCTTGCACTTCAACTTCTGAAGAGTAGATTTGGAGTTTAGGGGAGCATATGCTAGGTTGCTTTTTGAAATATGAGACGGGCAAGTTAACAACTAGAGAAGAACGATGTCTTTTTCCTTCTATCCAACCTAGCTCACTGGCTCCACCCTTAGAGCAGTCTTGGCCATGGTCAAAGGCTGGACCTTATACTGACAGCACTTGGCTTTCAGTATGTTTGAGACTGTAGCATCCTGTTTTTAGGAATTGTTAGGACCACTCTTGCTTTAGAACAGAATCGGTAAAAACTGGAAGCCCTCTAAAGTATTCACCCTTTCTCGGTGCATATAAACTACTGCTTCAAGAATCAGTGACCAGTTCTTCATTTCTGATTACTGACCTCTGCAACTTTCTGTAAAGCCAATTTGAAACTGGCCATCAGTCAGGGCTAAAATTAGCATCTGCAGTGAGCGCCTTAGCTCTAATTATGCAGAGAATTTGCAGAATACGTGGGGATGCTCTTAATGCTCTGTGTCAGTGGACGGAAGGGAAACCACCTTATTCTTCCCCTTTGAACAGTTTTGAGCAAGACTTGCACACACAGGTGTGCTCTGGTGGATCTAGTTTGTCATACTATAAAATTACTGCCACACAGTAATTACTGCTCCTGTGATTCTTGGTGGAGGGATTTGGTTAAAACAAACTCTTCTTAACCTAAAAGTCACTCCACCCACCTCTTGTCATGGGAGTTAGTTATATTCTTGGTATGATCAACTGTTCTGGGTTTGTTTGTTTTTTTTTTTTTCTGCCTGTAGGAGGTTATGTATCACTTGCAGAACCTGCTCTGATGATTTTTACACGCAGTTGTTTGTCACTGTCCATCAGTTTACAGATTTACAGCACTTGTCAAAGGAGAGCTGAATCCAGAGGACTATTCTATCTGTAACCTTGATCACTACAATGTCCTCTGGATCCCCTGAGCATTCCACATCGTGGGCTGAGTTTTTTGTCAGCAGTGATGAGGGATGAGATGCAATGTCTTTAGTTCCCTTTGCACTGAAGGCATTATCTTTCTTCCCATCAGGCTTGCTTCTGGTATTCGTACATAACGCCACTTGGTGCAATACTGCATATTTAGGGTATTTCAGCGTTGTCTCCTCTGACTTTGTATATTTGTGATGAAAAATATCAATGCTTCATGACTACATCCTGTATCTGTACTTTTCCCTCCCTCTCCCGTTCCATATTTCTAACTTACTTATTATTGTTTCAATTCTAGACTCTAATAACAGATGAAGTTCGTCTTCAGGAGCTGAGAGAAAAGCTTAATCAATTAAAAATCATAGCTTGTGTTTGTCTCATCACAAACAATATGGTGGGTGCAGCAATCGTAGATGTGCCTGATTTTGCTGACCAGCTGAAAAGGATCTCTGTCCCCCTTCTTGAAGGCATGAACAAGAAGTAAGGCTTGTTTTTTATCACTTCTCTCTCTCACACACACACATATATATATTTTAATTTTTTTTAACTAAACCAAATATCAGGTGGATCTTAAAACCCCTGGAGACAATTCAAATGTCTTAGCTAGTGAATTTTAATTATAGAAAATCATGAAATTTTACTTATCTATATTCCCTTTATGACATAAGTCCACTGTATGTTAGACACAGGTTTTCAAAGTTGTGCTTTCATGAAATCTTAATCTTGATGCTAGCCTAAAGAATTTGGAGCCTAGTACTACAGTTAATTCATTTGCTCCTAACAGTGGAGAGACTGTGGCAATACATTCACCAAATTTGTCTGGCCAGTTGCTTCGAACTTGTAGCTAGTTTAAGCTATCTAGCTGCCTATTTCTGTTGCCACTTGCACTACAAGTCTGATGCAGTCTTGTCTCATAAAATAGTTTTCCACTGGTCTTTTTCCTTATGAAATGCTGTGCATGTGGGCCAGGAAAACACCTGAGCATAAGGGCAAAATGAATGGGTGTCACTGCTGCACAGTTGAAACGATTTTTCCCATTTGAATTACAGTTAGGTCCTTTATTTTCTTCCACATGGAGATCTGTCCTGTACATAAATCTGCAAAAGATAACTTTTCTAAATTCTCTCATTGCACAGAGCAGGTTGAGAATGAAAGGGAGATAAGTAAGGTCACCTTACAACCTGTGCTACAAAACCTCCAAAAGCTAATGCTTTTCTACTTTTTTTTTTTCCAGAACTTTTGATTTGAAGGAGGCTTTGAATGCTATTGGTGTCCAGATTTGCAGCAAAGTGAACAGGTCTCTAACCGAAAGAGGTCTTCCTGCTCTTAGTGAAGAAATGCAGAGTAATTTAGTGGGTCAGATTGCTCACATTGTTGAGGAGAATAATCCTATCAGTTGCTTGATTGGTTAGTATGATAATACATAATTCTCTTATTGTATGTGCCTGTATATGAACTTACTCCCAGCAAGCCTAGTCAGCTCTCTAATTATTTCTTAAAAGCAGTTTCTTACTGCAGCAAAATACTGGGTCAACTAAGAGTAAGGAAATGTTGTTTGCCTGGAGATTATGTACTTGGTGTGCTGCAGAGAGCATGGTTAATCGTACATAGAAATAATAGCAAAAGTGTTTGTACTAACAAGCCTACATAGGCTAGTATTTTGAAGAACTTGGAAAAATTAGTGCTATTCGGTCTCCCTTCTGACAGTTCTGAGTTTAAACCTAGTGTTTTTTTCTTTTTGAGTCTGCTTCATAATAGGTAATGTAACTTGTTGCAGGAGGTTTATCCTGTGTCTACCTTGCAGGAGCCAACTTTAAAAGCAGCACGGGGTTGGGAGGGACATTGCTGGATATTTTCTTTTTTTCTTGCTGTGCTGATGTGCAAGGCACTTTACAACAGCGAGTGTAGCTTTGTCCGGAGTTTGCATTTGTTCTGAGCAGACTTGATATTTTATATTCCATTTCAGACAAACGAATCCAGTTCTTCATGAGAAGCTTGCTTGCTCTCCCAAGCGTTCAGAAGTGTATGCCTGCTATGCCAGGAGGCCTTTCTGTGATTCAGACGGAGATGGAGTTGGTTGGATCTCAGTATGCGAGCATTGTAAACTTTAATAAAAAAGTGTACGGACCATTCTATGCAAACATCCTTAGAAAACTGCTTTTTCCTGAGGCACCAATGGGGAAAGCAGAAACAGAAACACCTACCAATTAATGAATATGACCTATTCCTGTATGCCTTTCTCTTCCTTCCAAGACAGTGATTTCCCCGCTAAGAACGGCCCATTCAAGTGACTATTAATGAGAAAGATCTTGTATGTAGACAATTTCTTGAAATTAAATTCTTTCCAGTGAATTTCAGAACATATATATTTTAATAGACTAAATTTGTTTAATGGACTGTGTCACTTGTAATAGCCACTGAAGAATTAGTTTTAAAGGCAAGCATTTATTATGATTTGCAGTAGGAAAGAGCTGGCAAAGTCCTTGCTGTTTTGCCACCATTAAAATGTAATGTTATTTTTTAACTTAAATATATTTACATATAGCAATGCAATTACAAAACAACTGTAGATAAAATGTACTGTGCTTACGTTGTTTTATTAGGTATTGCTCTACAAAAATACAATTATGTTTCTGAGAAGATTTTGAAGCAAAAAAAAAAAAGTATAGCATAACTGCTTTTGTAACCAAAAACCAGGTTCATGCTAGGCCAAGCTCTGGTACTCCTGCAATTACTGGACCTGGAACTCATCCTCCGTTTCTTTAAGGAATGCCAGTGTTACGAGCTATCTGGAGTATAGCTGTTCACTGCTTAAAGTAGGAATCATTCAGAACTTCTCAACTGTAATTGAGATTAATGATAAGCACCTAAGAAACCTGATTTGAGGGGGGAGGGGAGTGGATTAAATTGCTGTATATAATGTTTATAACTGTTTTGTTTATCCAGTGGAGGTCATATAGATCTTAAATCTAATCACTAATGTGTGTATGTATGAATTTTTGATCTTAATGGGTATTAAGTATTTTTAAGTCAAGTCTCTCTGACCTTTTATTCCCAAAAGCACTTGAGAGGGACCTTACAGAGTACCACAGAGCAACTCCCCCTTTTATGCCCACATCCAACAGAATAGAAGCTTTTAAAACTGTATTATTTGGTTTGAAAGCAAGAACCCAAATGATTAGTCATTCTTGAAAATGTGATTAGAGTTGCTCTCACTGAGTCTGTGAGAAATTCAACTTCCTTTGGAATAGGCCTCAATACTTCATTCCCATTTAAGGTGTCAAGAATCTTGCATGCAGAAAATGAGTAGGCTTGAAATCAAGAAACATGAACATAAATTTCTGTAAGCTTACACAGGCTTTATTTTGCATATTTCAGATTACTGGGAATACATACTGCTGGAATATGTATTATAGACATGTTCTTGTCTAAGAAATTGAATCATAGTTTACTTGAAAATGAGCTTTTAATATATTACCATATAATAGTCCTTTTAAAATGTCATATATATATATATATATATAAAACTCCATGTGGTACAAATTATATAGCTTGTTTTTAATATTTTATATTACAGTCTATTTTTTATGAAGAGACAAAATTTGCCCGTAAAAGCTTAATGTGTCACACAAATTGTGTATGTACATTACTATGTTTATTATAAAGGTCTAAAAATCTGGGCATTATTAGCACTGTGGTTTTGTAGTCCATTTTTACAGAATTGTGTATTCTTTTTTTGTAAGGGAAATAACTTTTACGCAGTTGTTCTTCAGTGTCCAAGAACTCTGATCACGTGTACATGTTAAGAAAAAATTTCTTCAAAATGCCTTTTTTTAAAAAGAAAACTCTCTAGTGCACTTCTGCCCTATCCCTTCTAAAAACATTGCACAATATAAAGACAAATACATATTTTAAAGGGAACTGTTTCCTGAAGCCTGAAAAACCTGAGACAAAGGAACTCTTAGAATATAGTAATTGTGCCACTAGATAAACAGGCTTGCTCAGATGAATGCAAATTTTGATATGCAATTCAAAATCTTTAAGAGAAGAATGCATTTCAAAAGCAATTACAGGGAATTAAATCTTAGTGATTTTCCTGCATCTTTAGGAATACCTTAACTGTTCTGAGCTTCAGCCAGGAGAGGATTTTATGAATGTTTGAAGATGTCTTATAACATGATTATGAACATTTTTTTCATAATACTTTATATGCATTCTATTGTAAAAATACCAAACTATAGATCTTTAATGTACTGGGGAAGCTGTCATACTAGTTTTTACCAGTAAATACTAAAAAAAAACGAGGATTCATTGGGGGTTTTTTGGTGACTAAGGTCATTTGCAAAGGGCATTTTATAGCATGGCCTATGTTTCAAGTGATTGTTTAATGTATCTTAAATTTTGTTTAATGTTTCAAACACGGACATTGCCTCTGTTTAATGTCATGTGTTGCATGCTGTTTATGCTACTGTGGCTGAGATGCACTTGCCTCTACTCTGAAGCTGTCCTTGTGAAACAAGATGCATTCTGTAGCAGGTTTCTTTGTTGAAATACAAATATTTGAGGATTTGTATGCATTAAATTCCGTTTGTGATACCACTAGTGGTGAAATGTCATTTATACAAACTTTCTTAAATGTAATGTTTATTGTTAAATACTGAAGATAAATAATTGCACTAATAATATATGTTGCAACTCCTCTTTTTCTCTAACTTCACACTTGCAACTGGAGCTGAAGATTAGTGACTTTAATTCAGCTGCATAAATAACATCCAAAACAGTTACTTGCTTAACTTAGGCTCCTGCAAAGCAGGCTGTCTTGGATTTCAATGGCAAGGTTTGGTAGCGGGGGGCCTACAGGCTTGGATTCTGTGAGAACCTGCTAGAAATTTCCCCTGTGTCTGATAAAGCCAAGCTCTGAGGTGGACCCAACCCTGGCCAAGGCAGAGCTCGTTGATGATGGTGGTAGCACCTCTGTGATAACGTGTTTCAGGAGAGAGGGGAAAAAATCCCTGTGCAACACCAGCAGTCAAGAGAGAATACGTGAAGCAACTCCACATACGCCAAGGTCGGTGAAGAAGTGTATTGGGTTTGCTGGCTGGGTTTCGGCAGCACGGGGGCTGCAGGGGTGGCTTCTGTAAGAAGCTGCTAGAAGCTTCCTGAGTCTAATAGAGCCAATGCCAGCCAGTCCCAAAGAGGGACCCACTGCTGGCCAAGGCTGAGCCTGTCAGTAAAGTGATAGGAGAGAAACGCCTCTGAGAAAACATATTGAAGAACGGGGAAAAAGAACTGCGCCGCAACAGCTGGCACAGAGATGGAGGAGTGAGAATCTGTGAAGACACCAAGGTCAGTGAAGAAAGAGGCAGGGAGGAGGATGAGCTCCAGGCACCGGAGCAGAGAGTCCCCCGGGTTGTGGTGAAGACCATGGTGAAGCAGGTTGTCCCCCTGCAGCCCATGGGTGGGGTGTAGACGTCCACTGTGGGGCAGAGGACCCCACGCCGTGTGGGTGGATGCCTGAAGGGGGCTGTAGCCCATGGGGAGCCAGCATTGGAGCAGGTTGCTGCTAGAACCTGTAGCCTGTGGAAGAGTGAATGCCCACGCTGGAGCAGGGTGGCTGGTGGGACTTCTGTGACACTGCAGGGGACTCATGCTGGAGCAGTTTCCCCTGAAGGGTTGCACCTCAGACTCATGAGAGGTGGGTTGCCCCTCGTCCAGTTTGTGATGAATTGCCCTTCGTGGGACAACTGACGCTGGAGAAGAGAGTGTGAAGCTTGTCTCCCCTGAGAGGGACACCACAATGGCTCTGGGGAAGTGTGAAGAGTCCTCCTCTGGAGTGAAGAAGTGGTGGAACCAACATTGGATGAACTGACCATAACCCTCATTCTCTGTCTCCCTGCGCCGTTCAGGGGGAGAAGGTGGAGAAACCGGGATTGATGTTAAGCCTGGGAAGAAGGGAGGGATGGGGGAGGGTGTTATTTCTTCCTTTAAGATCTGGTGGTTTTTATTTCTCTCTACTCTTCTATGTTTTTTTAATAAATCTAACTATTTTCCCCCAAATCGAGTCTGTTTTGCCTGGGACAGTAAATGCAAGTGATCTTCCTGTCCTTATCTCAAACCTTGAGCCCTTTGATATATTTTTTCCTGCTGTCTATGGGAGAAGCGGGGTGAGAGAGTGGCTGTGTGGGCACCTGGCTGCTGGTCAGGGTCAAACCACTACAAGAAGGAAGGAGAGGAGGTGCTCTACATCCTGGAGCAGAGATTCCCCTGCAGCCTGTGTTGAAGACTGTGGTAAGGCAGGCTCTCCCCCAGCAACCCATGGAGGTTAATGGTGAAGCAGCCTGTGGAGGACCTCACGCTAGGGCAGATGGATGCCTGAAGAAGGCTGTCACCCCGTAGGAAGCCCACACTGAAGCAGGGTCCTGACAGAACCTGTGGAATGAGGAGCCCAGACCGGAGCAGGTTTGCTAGCAGGAACTGTGACTCCGTTGGGGACAACCTGTGGAGCAATATGTTCACGAAGGACCGCAGCCTGTGGAAGGGACCTACACTGGAGCAGCTTGTGAAGAACTGCAGCCTGTGGGAAGGACTCATGTCAGAGAAGTTTGTGGAGGACTGTCTCCTGTGCGAGGGACACTTACGCCGGAGCAGGGGAAGAGTGTGAGGAGCCCTGACCCTGCGAAGGAAGGAGCAGCAGAGACAACCTGGGATGAACTGGCCACAACCCCCATTCCCCATCCCCTGCGCTGCTGCTGCGGTGGAGGAGTGAAGTTAAGCCTAGGAAGAAGGGAGTGGAGAGGGGGAAGGTGTTTTTAAGATTTGGTTTTATATCTCATTACTGTAGTCTGATTTGATCAGCCATAAATTAAATGGGTTTCCCAGAGCTGAGTCTGTTTTGCCCATGACAGCAACTGCTGAGTGGTCTCCCTGCCCTTACCTCAGCCCTGGGCCTTTTGCTGTATTTTCCTTTCCCCTCTTGGTACGTGGCGTCCAGCCAGACAAAACCCACCACAATGATCTCGTTTTAAACTGGGAAAAATGAGTAGTACCTTAAAAAAAGGAAAAAAATAAATGGTAGGTGCCACGCTAAGATCCCGCGGACCCGGAACCTTGAGGAGCCGCGGCCGTGCGGCGGGAGG